GGCATTCGCTATCATCATTTTTACACTCTGCCATTTAGAAAGAAATGAGATAAATAAAAAATGACTTTTTAATAAACTTTTTTCATTCATTTTCGAAACAACCAGCTTCCGGTTTGAACACATGAACATGAGATAAATGGGAAAGATCTCGTAATTATCTGAATAATCTAAATGATATCTGATATATGATAAATGATAGTTCATGAATGATGTCGGGATGAATAAAGTAAATAAAGTATCCTCTTGTAAGGTTTGAGAACTTGTATTATCCTGTGAATATCGTCTAAGCTAATACTGTGGCGTGACCATGAAAACCGTCTTAGCGACCGTTGAAGAGCGTGGTTTTGCCAGACTTTTTAACATACTGTACCGTGAACATAGGAGGAGTTCACTGGGGAATCCTATAGCACCCTTGGACACACACACACACAGAGAGAGAGAGAGAGAGAGAGAGAGAGAGAGAGAGAGAGAGAGAGAGAGAGAGAGAGAGAGAGAGAGAGAGAGAGAGAAAGAGAAAGAGAGGAGTTTACAGACATGACGGAGAGAAATGATCCTTCATGACCTCGTTTGAGCTCTGGAGAGGTCAGGGTAGCGGTTTGGGTGGAGGGTTTTGGTCATGTGATCATCCCGTGGGTTTGGGTCAGTGTCTTGGCTTTGCATGGCCAGACCACGTGGGTAACCCTGAGGTGTCCTCGTGATCACTAGTAAATCTGAGAACACAAGAGGAAAGGAAACACCATTAAATGCCTTCGGTACCTTTGCTAAAGAGCAGAAAGGTTAAAGCCCATCGGTGGAGGCAAGCACTAACCTAAGATGCATGGTCACGTGACTGTGCCTCGCGACCTCGACCCAAGCCCAATCTGGCCGAACGGAACCAGTCTGAAGCCAATTCTTACTATCTCGTTTCCCCGTTTTGCTTCCCCAAGGACGACGCCAGTTCTTTCCTACTTTTGGTAAAATTGATAAATACAATTTTCCTGATCAACCTCTAACGAAATTCCTATCAAGGGAATGTTATAAAGGGGATAGTTCTTGTAAATGGAGTCAAAACAACTATGGCATTTTATGAAAACCAAGTAAGCCAAATACATTGACAGTATTTCATGAAAGCCTGCACAAGTGAAATGAAATCAGCAAATCATGACAATAATCTTGAATGTTGCGATTCGAGTTCATGAAAACCGCCCAAGTAAAATGTGAAGATAATTGTTCCAGAAAACCTTTCGAATAGAATAACACTAATTAGTGACTACCGAATCAACATACCAAGTGCCAATATGTCATGAATGTCGTCTGCTGTTGCGAGAATTCATAAAAATCATCGAAGCAAAATGTCATGACAAAAGTTCATGAACACCATCTTAATAAATAGAATAAGAACATGCCATGAAAACCGCCCGAGAAAATTGTACAAAATATACTTTATGAGCACTGTCTAAGAAAATGACTTGCCCATAGCTATTGAACACGACTAAAGTTCATGAAAATACCTTTATATCACGACTTATTATCGAAAGAATTATTTTTATATCATTACTATTTTTTCGAAATGGCCAACGTGCTATTTAAAAACATTATCAGAATACAAATTTTCTTAGAAACCATTTGGTAGTATTTATATTTCATCATATTTATTTTACCTATCGAATTTTACCTATGGGTTAATCATTCCTGCGTTCCATTCAATTTTAATTTAGAAAATGTCTAATGTGCCTGATTTCTGTTTCACTTATTTCATTATCCTTTATCTAAATTATCTCATTGTATCATATTTATTAATCAGTCAATCAAAAGAGAAAAAAATAGAAATAACAGCTACCATATCTGATGCAGACAATCAGCCTATAGAAAACCTGCAAATAGGCCTACGGTTCTCCACCAAGGAAAAACGTC